TTTTGGTAACCATTTTTGCAAAAAATGAGGACCAAGACAAGGAGCTATTATAAAGAGATGGCAAGAATATCCTGCATTAACAGGTAATCCCAAAAAAGAAAGAGCAATTTTAGCCTTTAAAAGTTACAATATATCTGCCAGAAAGTTTGTGATCTCTGGAAGGAAAGGGCTCTATATTCTTAAAGAAAATGTCACTGTCCCCTCTGTAACAATGCAACATGCAAGAACAGTGTCCATATATCCAAAATACAATCCTGCCGTCAAAGTACGAGGCATCTTCTTTAGTCGATAAAAATAAGAATGATCACCATTGGGTAGCTCAGACGATGTCCATAAAGATACTAAAAACATAACGGGGGACAAAAACTTGGCCACAAAGAAAATGCCCGAGGCCTGGGGTCCAAAGAGGATGGTTTCTCCAACCTTGATCCACAGACTGCTTAACATGACAGTGGAAAGCCTTTGAAATGCAGGCACGTCAGGCTTTGCTTTTGTCACCAACAGAGAAAGGGTCCAGAACACTGGTTTACCTGCCCATATACTGTATGGACTAACAGCTACATGCAAAGGGGCATCAGAAGAGAGGAGAGTACCCAAGTCAGGCTCTAGGACCCCACAAGGGAGTACGATGTATCACGAGGAAACACCTTGGGTTACACAGTTTGAAGGAGACAGAAAGCAAGAATGAACCAAACAATCTAAAGTCTTCCTACATCTCTAGTTTCATCAACCAGCCCAAGTTTTCAGGCATTTCCCAGAAAGTAGCTAGAATTTGGATTTTAGGGAGAATTATGGAGTTCAAAAAATAGTTAACTGCCGGGCCTGCCCTCTTCCCATGCTTTGGAGAGGCGCTGGTGCTCCTGCCCATGGCATTACCAGGAGCTGGAAGCCCAGAGCCGTAGCAGGGGCGTGCAAGGCACGTCAGAGCGCTCACCCACCTGGCCTGCAGTCACCTGGCTTGGGCAAGACAAACAACACCCCTCTTTCCCAAACGCAAACCCTTTAAGGTAAACCACCTTTTCTCACTGAAGAAGGAAGCATGGAAAATTCTGTAGCCTACCTCTAAAGGAACCTGCTGTCAACCCCCATCTCCCCTCCTACTCCTAATTTGGTTTTCCTGAGACTGAAGGAGAGGATGACAAAGCTGGAGTGATGCAAAAGGACACGAGTCCGTTAAAACAGAGAGAAAACTAAACCAAAGGTAGCCAAAGTACTTGTAAAAAAATAAGTTTAAAAAGTATTCCCATTGTTTAGGTGTACAATAAATGCATTGCTGAAATTTTTTGGAAAGGAATCACTTTAAATGTGTATCCGAGAGACTGGCGATCTTAATACAGGCCGCTAGGAATATATCTGTAAAGAATCTTCCCAGAAAATTCACTCCAAAATCACTTTCTGTAATCATGGCATATAAGTCCACTTAAACAGAAATACACAGATACACAGAGTGAAGTTAAGAGGAGATGAAGGGGCTGGCAAACAGAATGTGCAGGAGGTGGTACAGAAGATAATTATCTGCACGGGTGATCTAGCCTATTTACCTGAGGCCCAAGGGAGCTAGGTACACATGTCCTCTTTGGAACCTAAATAGTTTCCTCCTCCCCACAAAACAAAACCTGCCTCTCTTTCCTATTTAGCCAACTCTGCCAGTTCTAAGCTTGTCCCTCTCATCTCTCTTCTCTAGGCCCTGCAGGCCTGAAGCCGCCGCTCACAACCAAAGGTGGGGAAGATGGCCCAGAGCTGGTGTGGATCTCAGCCGAGACATGGAGGTGTGCCAGAAAGCCCCGCAGCCCCTGGGGTGGAAATAAAAAGCTAGCCCTAGCCTCCCCTTTAGGAATACACCTACCTGGCGAAGTAGCAACCGCACAAGACTCCTCTGGAGAGAGGAAGCCAAACAGGCCCCTGGGGGGCCTAACAGCACGAGTGGCCTTGAGGAAGCACACCTGTATGCCCTGTGACCAACTGGAAAACCACACCAAGTTCCCCAGGGAAGGGGGGACAGAAAGCAGATGGGCGGGAGCTAAGGCCACATTGCTGAGTGCTGCAGGTCTAGCTGCCCTGAACTCACTGCTTGCTATGTGGACAAAGGAAAAGGCTTAGCTAAGAAATGGCCCCTTGAATACAGAGGACTTCACTTTCTTTCATTCCGTTTAGATTCCCCCCCGCCTTTGTCTTTTTGTGGTGAGAGAAAGGTACTCAGGGGCACCTAGGGATCACAAAGAGGACCTTGAAGATGGCTTGCTCAAGAACCCACGTTCCCAGGACTGAGGAACTGTCTTAAGGACCTCACTGGGCCTAACAACCGGGACCAGTGATTTAGTTCAGTGCTAAAGGTAGTGAAATGAATGAGTGCTTACAGACAATTTTAGCAGCACAGTTGGCCAACCTCTACCATAGCACCGGTCAGCTTTTCAATCTAGTGACACTGAGCACATGGGTCATTAAAAATGCTTGACCCCAAGGATGATATGGTATCTGCCGAGTGCAGTGCTAAGTTAACAAGTAGCTGGCCTATGTATGTGTTTGAGGGCTCAGTCAAGCAGAGGCTCATACAAAAAAAAAAACCTTCTGAAAGATTTTTTTAAAAAGTATTGCAGTAGACATAAAAAAAAAAATCAGATCTTTTGGGAACTTATTTCATATGTACTTTTGCCTCAGAGCATTTTTATCACCGTCATTTTTTCATTGCTTAGAATTTTTAAAAGGTTTCATTTTGGCCCTGGGTAGGTAAAAGGAAATTACGCTACAAAATTTTAGGCCTTTAGTTGTGTTTCAGCGGCATAGGTCATACCAGCACTGAGATAGGTCTTCAGCAGTAACCTTCCAGATGCTTTTGGGAGCTTTGCAGAGAGTTGCAAAAACAAAAACAAAAACAAAAAAACCAAAAAAAAAAAAACAAAAGGACAAAAACCTCACAACTACCAGAGGTCCTGAAGCCATAGAGTCATCTGCTCCTGAACAGCGTGGTCACCAGATGTGGGAACTACTTTCCAAAAGTGCACTTCAAGACAAGTATTCTCACTGTCTGCTGGAATTTAAGTCAGAGGACAACTTGCCTCCCACATCCGTTTTGCAAAGGGTGAAACTTTTGATCCTTATCTAACCTGCAGGGGAGGGGGGAAACAAAGCTGTACTTCTCACTCATTTGCTAGAAACAAAGAACGATGATAGACCTGATCACAACTGAAATGGACTGACCTAAAGTACTTCAGTGTCAATTGTTCCATTCATATAATATCGATACTTAAAAGGTAACTGGATGTCCCCAAATAATTCCACCATGATCAGTAAAAAGTACAGAATTTTGAAAGGCTGATTAACAAGCAGAAGTGACACACGACTAAATGGAAGGCATGGAAAATTAAATTTAGGGCTTGTGAAAAGAACCAATACTTTCCCATGCACAAAGCACCTGCTAATCTCCAAAGTACTGCTGACGGTCATCCAAGCCCTCAGTTATCTACACCGTCAATTACGACTTTCTCCATTCCCAGTGGAACTGCCTTCTTGAATTTTCAGTCTCACATTTTCCTGAAGACTATTCCCAGGTTTTATGCCCTAGGACGCTGCAGCAATGATGGATTTTTGGCCATGGTTTGTCTTGTAACTTCATAATTGGGTAACTTTCTACCATAACTTACAGCCAACACATATTTTGATATACAAATAGGAAAAATTATTTAAATACTTATAAAAACCAGAGGAGGGAAGGCTTGAGATGTAGGATTTGGAAAGGCAAGCCTGGGGTTTTATTGGGAGTTGAAGTGTAAACATTTTTGAGTTCCCCTAAGATGTCTGGACTAATGTAATAGACTTCTTTGTTCAGAGCAATGACTTCTAATCTTAGATTTGTGACACCCCCGGGTGTCTCCAGATATCTCCGGAGGTGCTGTAAAATTACCTCCTCAAAATGCCAAGTAAAATAATTTAAATTCACTTAAAAAATAGGCCACACATGTTTGGAGGCAAGGGAGGGTGTCTTGGAATCAAAAGAACAGTCATAAATATTACAAAAGCTTGATCCTTTTCAATTACATTTTAGTCTACAGCAACTGATGAATAAAGGAAATGGAGCAAGATGACAGTCTGTGTGATTTTTGTGATTAGGGGAGACTGGGAAGGAGCTAGTTACTTGGGACAGTCTTTTTTCTGATCTCTACATTTACTTACTGATGCCTGAATTAGCACTCACTGGCAAATGGGAACCTCGTTCCTAGCCCTTCACCTACTTGCACTGACATTGGTGCCTCAAAGTTGGTTTAAATGATCTCTATTAAGTATGTGTTTCTTTAAAACAAACAAACAAACAAGAAAACAGACAGGGGCAGCTAGGCAGGGTAAGCTGAAGTTAATTTTGTCAGTTTTCTGCTCAGCGTCTTCATTCAGTTGTTATCCTCAGATTACATACATCACTGCTCTACAATATCCAATTCTAAAATTGCTTAGTCACAACAAGGTTAAGAACGAAAACACAATTGTGGGTTTGCAACTAGGAAGCTGGCTTATGGCCATTATATTTTACTACAGTTTCCAAATTTCCAATAAATTATGTTTCCTGATGGGCTATTGCCCCAGGTTTCAGAACTTTCTTTACTCCGAACACTCGAGTTATCCGAAAAATCGGAATATCGATTTAGAAATCAAAGTGACAAGAGTCACCCTCAAAAAAGACATCACAGATAAAAAAAATACATAAGTATACATTTTTCCATTAAACAGGCCTGTCTTTTCATAAAACCTCAGCTTGTGTTTTTAATTTTCATATCACTGCTTAAACTTAGACCCACATTTTACATAAGCCCTAGGATTCCAGTGAGAAATTCTTTACTAAATAATTTTCGTTTACTCCTCCATTCACCCTGTTAATTGCTTGTCAAGAACAAGAAAAAGTTCCTTTTAAACTAGGTCTTTTGTATCATACTTCAAAAATCGTCTGAAGAAAAAAAAACTGTCTGAAGAATCAAAACAGTTCTAAGTCAGAAGGAAAAAAGTATACTTGCCTTATTTGTAGCGGTAGCACTGGATCCAGGGACCACAGGCACATTCGTCACTTGAACTGAAAGATAATTATTATCTATGAGTGGCCAGGCTCCTTCCACTTTGCACGTCTGAAAGTGATCCTTGAAAGTTCTAAGGTGAGGATCTCCGAACAAGCCACAGAAAAGGTAACTAGGAGGGTTCAGATCCCCTCCCCTGTGTTCTCTGGCTCCTGCGTGGCTGTGATAGTTACAAGGGTCATGGGTCACTTCAGGGTTGGTAGAAGATGTGGGTCCATCCTTAGAACAGTTCCTCTGGCTCATGAGGTCACTGATACCCAGCACAGCAGAATGGTACACCAGGTTACCACGGCAGGCTTTTGAAGTCCTCTGGGTGCAGCCAGCATAGGCGCGCAGAGCCTTGCAAAACTCCGAGTCAAAACCGTCAACGGCAGAGTTCAGGTGTGAAGTCAGAGACACAAAGTCCGTGGTACATTTCTGGATTCGACACTGGGCTGGCTGTTGGCAGTCACCTATGAGAAAGAAGATAAGACCCAACATTTTCTGAATGCTTCATAACTGCCTGAGGTACCATGAGAAAATGACATTTTCCTTTGGGAACTGTTTGTTCGATTTCATATCCTCCTATTTTAAGAAGGCCTTCAGAAATAGGGTTGCATTGTGCTTCTGTGTCTCTCACAAATTAAGCCACTGGGAGAAAAACTGCACGCAATTAGTTACCTTAAAACTTGAAATCAAGAGCCGCTGTGAGTGCACATGAGTCTAGCCCAGTATTCTTATGTTAAAATTACAAGGGAATGGCTAAATGGAGTATCTTATCAACTTTGCTATTGTTTACATTCTGAGAAAGATTCCTTTGCTCCAACTCCAAGGCCAAGCCAAAGATGTGAACTTTGTTTTGATTTTGAAAAGGGCATTAAGTCATTTGCTTTGGAAAGCAGGGGGTCTAAGCAGAAAACCACGATTAAGGTTCCACACCTTAGGTAGGGACTCCTAAATTACAGCATGATTAGTTAAAACACCTTTACGTGATTCTAGTACAGCTAAAGGATAATAAGAAAAAATCCAGGTACTAAGTTATTCTGCATTTCTCTAGGGGTGTTTATTAACAAACTGTATATAAACTGACAATCTCCTGGATGCTACAAAATGTAACTGTTCTCTTAAAAAAATAAAGTGACTCATTTATTTGATCAAGCTGTGTCATTACTTCTCCCTTAATATCCATCACCACTGGATCCCAGATCCCAAGCAGCCCATCAGGAAAGGTACAATGAATCAAAAAAGGACAACCAAATTGAAATCATGCTACACGGACAGATGATTCCACCGACTGTTTTATCAGAAAGAGAACCAGGGAACTACAACACACAGAATTCTTGAGTATATACAAATGACTTTTTTCCTTAAGTCGACAGTTCAGATACACCTAATGATTTAAGCAAAGCTAAAATGAATAATAATAATAAAAAACTATTACCGCCCCACTTTTTAAAGTCAATTTTCAAATGATGTTTTGTCACTAGCTTCTCATATAAAAAAATTAAGGGGTGCCTGGGTGGCTCAGTTGGTTGAGCACCCAACTCTTGATTTGGGCTCAGGTCACGATCTCATCATCTTGGGATTGAGCCCCGTGCTGGGCTCAGTGTGGAGTCTGCTAGTCCCTCTTCCTCTGCTCCTCCTGCACACCCCCCCCCCCCCCCCACCCCCTGTGTGTGCACACTCTCTCTCAAATACAAAAATAAAATCTTTTTTTTTTTTTTAAATTAGAAACCTCTCAAAGCATAAAAAAGATGCAAGAATGGCCAATACTAGGTCAGTTGTGTGCACCAATCAGTTTTATATTCTGGTCCATAAAGTGGGAATGCTAGAATTACTGAAAAGGAAAATACTTTTCCTAATCATCCACCTCAAGTTTTATAGAAACTTACTTTAACACGTACTTTGTGTTATTTAAACATTCTTTTTAGGTCTCTACACTGGAGAAAGTTTCAATACTTTCAAGTCTTAAGATTCCTCAGCTGAGAAATGAGGAGGTTGTTTTTGTGATCTTTTCCAGGCATAAAAGATTTTATCATTCCTATTCTAGGTGAGGGGAAAAAATAATCAGAGTATTATTAAATATATAATTATTTTAAGATGTGGACATAGACTTCAAAATAATATCAAGATTTAGGACTTCATCTGAAGAAGACTTAAAACTAACCCTAATATCACTTTAGAAAAATACTTTAATCTTTTCAGTATTAAAGTGCTTTTAAACCTTAATGGAATAACCCGTAATCTCTGTTTCTGGCTTGAGTTCAGCAGAAAAGACTGGGGGATGACCACCTCTCAAGCCACCTCCCCCACTATTTTTACATTTCAAAGACCAAGAAGAGAAAAATGTAGTCTAGATTGGGTACTCTAACCTGGGGGGAGGAATACACACACACACACACACACACACACACACACACACACACTCTCTCTCTCTCTCTCTCTCTCAACTTTTTGGGGCTATGGACTTACAGCTATCATTAAATCACACTTAAAAAAAAATAATCACAGAAACACTTCATGTGTTTGGCCTATCTCATGTTGGCTCATTCTAGAGTGGACAAAAGCAGCTCCTATGTTTACAGAATTCCTCTCTCCAAAGTAGATCAAGTCATTTTCAGCTGTTTGACTCAAAAAACCAAAAGCCAACCAACAACCTCAAAGGCATTAAAGCCATTTTACAGATGGGAAAAATCAAGACAAAAGGCTATTAAAGGCCTTGTGGCTGGATTATAAATAGCTAGAACGAAGCCCAGGATAAAGTGCCTTTCTTCAAATCTCCTTTTCCTTCCTCAGGTCACATCTCTAAATTCCTGATTCTCACAACAATAGCTGATAGCTTAAAAGAAGACTTAACTATTGTATCAATTATTTTTTTCTTTTTAAATGAAATTCACAGCAAGCAGAAAGCAAGGAAATGAAAACTGGGCCAAGATCAGTCAGTAATGAACAGCTCCTACACTACAAATAAATGACAGCACAAGAACTTTCCGCTAAACCTGCAATGCCTATTTGTTCTTTTTATGGTCTATAAAATCTATCCGAGCATACATTTACTTATAATTATTTTAAATAGTCATAAAATATCCAAAGTAAGAAAAGCATGAGATGCAGATGAAACTAACTGTTCAGAAGAGAATCAGAGTATAGATTCCCACCTCCTTTTTCCTTCCCTGCCCCCCCCCCTTTTCCTAGCAGGCAGGTGCTGATTCTTTTGATAAATGTCACATCAAAAAGAACTCCTTGGGTTCTTTTGTGTGGGATGAGGTTTCTAACAGCCTTTTCAAAGACAGATGATGGGAAAAGAGGATGGCTAACTAGAGAGTGCATCTGGGTCAGCAGTTTCAGCCCCATCACAGGCTCCTGTATAATGACTAATTTGCAGCATACAGAATACACCCAGAAATATCCAGGCTTCATGAATTTGTAATAACAGTGCACACTTTGCCTGTTACAGGCGGTAAAGTAGGCTTCCTGTCAAGATGCCAAGACAATGTAGAGCAGAAACAATCTCAAGGATGTAGCCAACAAAGCCATGAAGAGTATGAGTAAGCAAGTAACTCCCATATTGTATCTCCATTCAGGAATTGTAGAGGTTTGCTTGGGGCGGGGGGGGGGGTGTATGAAAGGACTTTTTTATTTCCTAGGGCAGAAAACAAAATCTGCAGTTACAGTTGTCTCCATTTTTCAAGTCAGATGATCTACGACTGGTGTGATAGTGTTTTCATGCCAGTTAATGAAAGTGCTAAAGGATCTGTGGGTCTACAGCCTTCGTTAATGATTCAAAGACCTCACCATTCAAGACCATTTCCTTGATGCCAGGACTGCACGTGTGAATTTGCAGCACAATCACCAGTTTATAATAAAAGAAATAAGATATGCTGAAGCTGAATTAAGTGAAATGCAGGGCCATATGGGGTGCTGAGGCAAATTATATTGATCCAGGCATAAAACATATGGTAGCCCATCTGCAAAGAGCACTACGCTAGGCTCTCTGAAGAGAAACAATCCTTGCATTTCATAGCAACACTCATCAAAGAAATCTTTCAAAAGGAGCCCGTTTTTTTCTGTAACCAAATTAATCATTCCACCCCAACTAGTTGTTCACAGATATCACTCACCATGGAAACTCTAGGTAGAATCCAATGGTGACTTTAGTGAAGACACAGGAAGATATGGAGAAGAGTTTCACATCCCAAGGTCTTGAAATAAGGCACCTTACATTAAACATTAAAACAACTTTTTCATAACTGGCCAAAAAAGAAATCTTCAAGGACCACATTCCAATCTTGCCTTAGTACCCTCTGACAACGAAGGGAAACAATATCCAAGCCGTCATGAGGTACACACAGTCCTACCTAATACTTCAATTTCCATTTCAAGAAACATAACACTTTGACATCATGAAGACCAATTCTTCACACAAAACACTCCTGAATATATCTTTTGACACATCATTAAAAATTTCCATGTGGCCATAAGCAGGTTGCCATTACTTCCTAAGATTCTAAGGTCATTTAAAGCCTTCATCACTGTAAAACTTAATGTTACACCCTATGTTTCCCCAAGTGAGTGTTAAAACGCAGCTGTTCCATCACAAAGCAAAGTTACGAAAAGTAAATTAAGTCTCCTCAAATGCCACATTTTCCCCCCATTACTTAAAAACCTCCCAGATTTTTAGCAAGGCTGGTATGACTTAATAAATAAATACCACTCCACGCAGGAGGGTGGCATTACAGTTCAGGATTCTCCGCATCAGAGAGCGCTGAGACTGCTGTCATAAAATACAGGACAAAAAAAGGTCTCTAAGAAAAATTTACCTAATGCTCTAGTTGTTCTCAATAAGAGTTTCTCTTTCAATCTGGCATTAAATAAATTCTTTAGACAAACTCCTGGACGCGGTATTTATTAGACCATCCTAGATAGTCCCCCCTCCCCGCGCTCTGAGATGCAACTGACATAGATCATTGTGTTAATGCAACTTATTTCACAAGAAAAATAAGTATCACCTGCTAGAAGCCTCATTTGCAGGCCGACTTTTGCTAAGAACAGATAACTCACTCCTGCTTCCATAGAGGAAGCGCCGGCCTCCAGAAAGCCTCGTGAGATCTGTCAACCCCTCCTGGAACCCGAAAACACGCGGCGAGCCACAAAGCACTGGTTTCTCCAAAGAGGGTGACAAGCTGAATTAAAAGCAGCTTTCGCTAATACGAAAGAAATCCCTGTTTAAAGACGTTTAAGTTACTTCGAGATTAACCCCCAGGTTTTCAAATTCCGGTGAAAATCTTTACCTCTGAGGCGATTTCTTCCCCTCATCGCCACCCTCAACCCCCAGAGAAGCAGCACAAGGCTCCTTGTCTGCCCTCGAAGGGGGCGGCGGCGGCGGAAACCTGATCCCAGCCTGACTTTCAGTAAACACCAATGCAGTGAGCAATAAAGCACCCGGAACATTTGTCTCGGGGGCGCAGCCCCCGTCGCCCCCGCCCTCTAAATCTTTGATAAGCGGCTGCTGGGAAGATTTATCAACGGTCCCAGCCGAAGGCGGGGAAACTGGAGCGCTGGAGGGGGGGAAGGGACAGAGAGGGAGGGGAAGAGGCCTCTCCACTGCGCCCTGGGCGCGCCGCGCGACTTGCGGGTGTGTTCCTGCCGCTGCGCCGCGAGCCCGGCAAAGGTGCAGGTCGGAGCCCGTGAGGCCTCTCCTGTCTCACCACGCCACGCCACGCCGCCCTGCTGCCCCAGCGTGTGCTTTCGGGACCGGGGGTGTTTGGGAACAAAGCACTCGGCCCTGGGGCTGGCTCCCCTCGCGCGCGCGCCTCATACCTGCGTGGAGCAGCCCGAGGCTGAGCAGCAGCAGCAGCAGCAACGCCAGGGGCGGCGGGCAGAGTTGGGGGCGGCGGCGCTGCTCAGCCCCGGCGGCAGCAGCGGAGGCGGCGGCAGCGGCGCAGGAAGGTGCTGCTCTCAAGCCCATGCCCGTCCATGCAGGTCTCGTGAGCTCCGGCGAGGGCGGCGGCGCGGGCGCCGTGTCGGGCTCGTGGCTGTAGCTGCGGCATGGACCGTGGGACGCACCTCGCTTCCTCTTCTTCCTCCTTCAGGCACGCGTCGGATACGGGCCGCCGCCACCGCCGCAGCGAAAAGCGCGCCGCGGGCGGAGCGAAGCGGCGGCGGCGGCGGCGGCAACGGGGCGCAGCGGCATCGCGGCGGCCGGAGGCGGCGGGCGGGGCAGAGGGGGCGGGAGAAAAGACACAAAGACTGTGAGCTTAGTGCCGAGCCCGGCCCCAAAAGCGCGGGCGCCCCGGTCCCGGCCAGCGTGGGCTCAGCGGGCGTGGACCCACTGAAGGCGCGCCCAGCCGAAGCAGGCAGCCGCCGGCAGCCCGGATATCTCTGTGCGGCGGCCCCGCGGTCAATCAATCTCAGCCCCGCACTGCCGCTCCGCCCTCCCTGCGTGCGCCAATCCACGTCGTCCCCACCCCCGGCCGAGCCCCTCCCTCCCACTCCATTGGCCGTAAACGCGGGTCCTCTGGGCCCAGCCCGCCACTCGCAGGCCCAAAGCGCCCGCCCCCCACACCTCCTCCCGCCCTCAGCTTGCTCATTGTAATTCGAGTTCCGCGTCCGCCGGCTGTGAGTCCTGTCCGCCGTGCCCGGGCCCAGCCTTCCTCCTGCTCCCTCCTCTTCTCTCCCTTTCACCCCTTTCCGCGATCTGTTTCCTCGTGCCCTACAGAAACTGGCAACGGCAACTCTCTCTTGCCGGCGTTACAAAAGAACCGGCTTTCTTCTCCTTTAATTAATGTGGATTGGGTTCAACTTCCCCCTAAGGTTTTTTGGGTGTGTGTGTGTGTGTGTGTGTGTGTGTGTGTTTTAAATCACCCCCACTCTGTCCCTCCCGTGTGTGTGTGTGTGTGTGTGTGTGTGTGTGTGTGTGTGTGTGTGTTTTAAATCACCCCCACTCTGTCCCTCCCGCTCCAGCTCCGGCTACTGAGAGGAAGTGGGCGCTTTTACCGAACGCCGTGCGGCAGGTCCCTTCGCAGCCAATCACATCTGCGGAACCGCGTTCCGAGCCTTTTCCGGACGTTTGGTAAAGCTAGCACCCAGCGGCGTTGGAAGTCCGAATGTGACCTGCGGTCCGGAACAGATCGGATGGGCTGGGAAGGTACCCACCAGCTCCCGGCGGAATTCGCTGGCAGCTGTGCGAGGCTCTGGCGTTATTGTTCCTCTGACATTTCCCTTCCTGAAAGCAGCGGGGAGGAGTCTGAGAGTGGGCGAACTTCAACGTGTTCGGTTACAATGTAATTAGATTAATGAGGATAGTGAGTTTTTAAAGCAGTGTAGAGTAATTATGCCATCATTTCTTGTTGCTCGGTGGCTTTTCCACAAAATTTCGTAGTCTATTAGTATATTAATTCAATGGCAGGTCACTTTCTACTTTTGTCACTTGGATGGATCCAAAGATGAGGGGAAAAAAACCCAATTGTGTGCCAGAACAGAGGTTGCCAAGTGTTGTTATAGGAAAGCATGCTGTGAGGTTGATGATAGGTTCCAATTTGTTATCAGTAGGTGTGAAGTGGTATCTAATCTCAAGAATGGCTTCAAAGGCTAGGAGCTACTTCGACTGCCCTTGCCTTTGCCATTCCTCCAAGGGGCTCAGGTCTGCCGTTTTAAATTCACTTATAGCCAAATTGCAGTTTGCAGCTGTACCCGTTCACTACTCATAATCTCTAATTAGTAATTTCGTATCAACCGCGGACACGTTAATATTCCACATGTTACAATGTGCTAATCAATGGACTAGGATAATTGAGGGCAAACCTTCGATCACTCCACTTACTCATTAAGACACATTATGAACTGTACAAACCAACTAGGTCCCTAATGAAGGATGCCTATTTTTACTGTAACTTTTCATTACTTACCTATTACATACTATGATGACTCAAGTGGTAAACACACCTTTCCCTGCCCAAGATATAATCCAAACCTTGTGTATATCCATAATATACTTAATAATAGCTTCAGAGTTGCCTGGAGAAAGGACTTTTTGCAGGCGGAGTTATCTGATACGATTTGTAGATAGTACTGTCGAATAAATACTATGAGACCAAAAATTTACTGTCTTGAAATGACTACATAAATCAATGAACTAAAGTTAGTGAAATACTGGTAAACATCTTTTAAAAGTAACCAAATCTGAGTCAAAGTATTTTGCTGAAAAGACTAACAGTAAGATGTTTCTTTTTCCTTAACCCAAGATTTAATTCGACCCCTATGAAAGAAGCATGCCACTTTATTGATCATACTTCAAACACATAACCGAAAGTTAAGGATCAAATTCAGGTTAGTTGGGGTCTTTTAGCTGTCATTACTTTCTCTGATTTATCCCCCTGCCACTTCTCCCCCACCTGTGTCCTGTTTCTTAAACACACAGTGCTCTAAATTATTTTATCAATAGAGGGCGTCCTTGAGTCGCTGCAAATTCTGGTATCGAAATGCAACTGTTCTTTTAGAGGGAAAACTTCATTTTTTTCTAAGGTGCTTTATTGCTCATCTGTTGTAAAATTTGACAAGCTCAAGATTTATAAGGCTAACAATTCATTTTTTATTACCACATAAGTGTTCAGCCGGCTAGAGTAAAATGTTAAGTTTCACAATTAAACCGCAAGGTGGTTCCTGTTTTCAAGTCTTTAGGTCAGTTGACAGACTCGCAGGGTAAATTCGGACTGTTAGCAAGATCCCGAGTGGGCTTGGAAAGCAAGAGCTTGGTGAATGGTCGCTTATAGCGCATCCATTCCTCCAGCTCCAATGCTGCAAGTTAAGGAGGATTTTAAGATTCTATAAAGAAAAATCTAGGGATTTCCCCCCATAAAATCAATGACTTATAAAAGTTTTACATCTTAATCTGAAAAAAAAAATCATGAAGTGACAGCTTGCACAGCTCACGAACCCACCCTATTTCTTGCCACTTGTACTCTTTCTCTCTTCATCTTTGTTTTCAGGAAGGAAAGATGAGACCAGAACAGCACAATTAGAGGACACGGCAAAGCATCCCACGGTATGAACGTGCAAGTGAATAGAATTAAAACACATGCCAGCAACATGAACGGATTCTAAATAAGAATTAGAGGTTTCTTTTCCCGAACGTATACGTGCGGTCTTAACCATTCCCCTGTTGATTTATCTCCATTTCCAGAAATCTAACACGAGGGTCTCACCGAGGACAGAGGAGCTAGGAAGCAGACCGCAGTAGGGATTTGTGCAACCCATTCTAGAGTAAGGGCCCCCCCTCGCTGCTCCCCGGTCCAGGGTGTCCACAAAGCGGGGGCTGAAATAGCCCGGAGTCCGACAGCCCAGCAGCAAGCAGCTAGTGGATTGTACTTACATCATTCTTAACCCTTCCGATCCTGGAAGGGGCTTGACGGGATCAGGGGGCCCCCGAGTTCTGGAGCACGCAGGACCTGGGTGTGAGAGAAGACCCCAGAGCCTGGCGTGAGCGCTGCGCCCCCGGGAGGAGGGGTTCCGGGGCGTGAGTGGGTCTCATCACCCGAGCGTACACAGCCGGCCCCCACGATCCCTGCGGGCTCTGCAGCGGATCACACCGCTCAAAGCGGCAGGTGCAAAAAGCATTTGGGAGCCGCTTGCCAGCGCGCGGAGGTAATGCGCTTCCTGTCCATTTATCTCAGGAAACCAGCACAGCCTTCTCTTCCAAACAAAATTAACCTCTCATTAGCCAGCCACTCACTCCCGAGAAGGCCTTAAAAGCTTTACCAGTTCGCTAATGTATTTAGACTTTTCTTCCAGGCCAAGCAGCCCCGGTGGTGACTGTCATCAGCCCTGGGGGTTCCTCTGGGTTCCCCTGGGAGCCAACCGCTTACCGCCGCCCCTCCCCCAGCCTCAAGTCTGGGAAACTCTGACCAATTTGGATCCCAGTTTGGGGTACTCTGCAGACCCGATATGCCTGAAGGGACTTCACGCCACAAGTAGCCAAAACAAGTTCCCACTAGTTTCAAGAGCTCCCCTCATATCAAATACTCAGCTCTTCTACCCTCAAGAAACGGGGAAGGGTACCCTAGAGGTACTTCTGTGGCCAGCTGTCCCTGAGTCATAGGCTCCAACTGTCCTTTACAGCGCCAGCCCTGTACGCAACGGGTGCGGGAAGCAATGATCAGGGGTATGGGGAGTAGTGGAAGCTAGGATCTACCCATTCCAGGAGTGGAGAATCAAACGTGGTTCTAGGGCTGCTAGAGTGGCCTTTTGGAGCCTTGGGGTTTTCTCACCCTGGCCCCCCGCCGCCGTGAGGCTGGCAGATTTATACCACACAGGTGGACCAAGACCTAAACAAAATAGTCCGGGCCTCTGCCTGCCGCTCGCCCCCCAGGTCCCCCTGGCCCACCGCAAACTTCGACAAAATAAACAACTCACCACAGGCATTCCCTTGTCTGCAGCGCGACGCTTGCCAGCTGGGAAAATAAGCCGCAAGCCACGCGGCGGGGGCGCAGAGGGAGGGCAGCGCGGCGCCCGCCTCTCTCCCCCAGGTGGGGGCAGCGATACCCGGGGGCAGGACGGAGGCTCCGCCTCGGGGGCCGCTTTCTCGCCTCCCTGACTGCTGAGTGAGCGCCGGGCGAGGGGCTGCGCCCTTCCAGCCAGCGCGATCTCTCGGCCACCTAGGGAAGGGGGCGGGGAGGCAAATCCTTCAATTCCCTCCCGCTTTCTCGAAGTGTCTTTCTCTCGCGTCAGGTCTCAAAGAAGGCCAAACCTAGGGGCCTTCACCCCACCCCGCCAGCGCCACACCGCCCCCTGTCGGCACTACCCGGACCTTTCCAGCGCCGCCGAGGAGCGGCTGGTAGCGGCGCCTCAGAATCCCAGCCTCCAGGTCCCGGCTCAGCTCTCTCCATTCTCACCGCCTCCTCACCCCCAAGTCCCGCACAAAGACGCCTTTCATGCGCCAGCGCCACCCTCCGCGCCGCTCTCCACCCCGCGGTGTTGCCTTTGCCCACCCGTGGCACCAACCAGCGGTCTTGGGGCAGGCCGGCAGCGGACACGTCCAGGCTGTTCCCACTCCGCGCCTCGGCACAGGCACGGATGCAGTACCCCGCCCCCCTTTCCACGATTTTCACCAACTGTGCAGCAGCAGCAGCCACAAAATGCACCCCTTCTACAGAAATGATCTGTGAGGGTCTTCCGAGTGTGTATAAATGGTGGGTGTTTGTGGCGGGGCCGGGGGCGGGGGTTGGCCTAAGTGGCGGGCATGGTCTCTGGACTTTCGCTGAAATAAGGAGTCCAGCGATCTTTCCTGTCCACCCAAGGTGCCAATGTGGATGTTTACAGCTTACAAAAGCCCAGGATAACGATTTGCGAATTGTGAGGGGCGGGGGGGGGGGGGAGAATTGAAAAAGACGTCTAAGACTCAGGTGAGGAAATGTGTTATAAAGAACAGGCCCACGAAATGTTCGTGGAACGACAGCCACTTGAATCAGAGTGGAAGGTGAGGAGAGCAAGAGGGAAGGGATTCACTTTCTTCCCCTAGGCTGATCTTCCAAAGTTGAAAGTAAGCCTCATAGGTATTCAGCGGGAGCTGTTTTGTGCGTTCAATGCCTGGGACGAGCAGGGTGCTTTATTTTTTATTTTATTTTATTTTTTTGTCCAGGGAAAGGTTCCAGCATCTTGACTTAGGTATTCCACTTTTTTTTTTTTTTTTTTTTGCCTCCTTAGAAATATCTTTGACCCTCTCCAGCTTTTCTCCTATTCTGTCCCCATTCTTCCTTATAATTTCCTGATCTAACGCTAGAGGCAGCATAGGGCAGCGTAAGGAGGACAAAGTGGCAATCAGGAGAGGCCGATCATGACCTGACTTTCTGAGTGCGACTCTTGGGCAACTGATTTAATGTCTTTGAACCTAGGGGACACTATCAAGAAAGAGTGTGTTAGGGGCAGTGGTCTGGTTTCTTCTGGTTCTGAAATTAGGTGACAAGGGAAGCCTCCTCACACCTTCTATAGATTCCCTTTTAAGGTGTTTTCTCACTTTGCTTTATCCTCTCCAAGGGCCAATCAAATTGGAAAAAATAAATATTAGGGATATTTTAAGGTAAATGTAAGATACATTGAAAAATCCTTTTCTTGATACTTAGAATTAAAAACAACAACAACAAAAAAGGCAAACCAAAACAAAAGCCCCTCATCTCCTGGTTCATAGAAACAAGAAATTTCAACGTTCCCACTTGCTTTGCTTTTGACAAGCCACACCAGCAATCAGCAGAGCAGAGCTTTGATTTAGAATCTAAAGGCCAGTCTTATGTTTTTCTTTTTCTTTTTCCTTCTACCAATACAAAGACAAGCTGACACATAAAGTAGTGGTGAACAAGAGTTCAAAGCAAGCTTAGTGGTCTATTTCCTAACGAGGACCGTGTCCTTCCCCTCTCCCCTGCTAAAGTGGCCCTGGGCAGCACAGAAATAGTAGGCACAAGCTGCCAGAATCCCCTTACCCTCCCCTTCCCGGAAATATTGGGCAGTGGAACCTGGGTGACTTGTCAATCATCATGTAAATGCATTCATTAAATTAATACATTTACCTTTTCCTTAGCCTCATGATACCTTCCAGGATTTTTGATTCACTATTCACTTTGGAACCCTCAGCCTTAGTTTTCCCTCTGGGCAAACCTGGCTGTTTTCTGTGGAATCTTTTCTGAAACCAAGACAAAAAGGGGTGAATTTTCATAATGAATTCTTAAACTACAAATCTCTTGCTTCTTCAATTTCAACAAGAATTTCAGAATTGCTTAGCTTTCATAGCAATGCACACTTTAAAAAATTATCCATTAGAGAGAACTCTTAAGTATACTTTCATTGGGGAAAATAAGATTCTTTAAACAGTAGTGGTGGAAACATATTTTGAGATTATCTAATTTGGTTGCTTTCATTTGTATTTGTCACCCCGCCCTCCGCAGTCCCATTCATACATGCTAAAAACTGTTAAGTTTCTAATTGGGCCTTGGATGTTCCATTAGTAAAAGGACATAGCTTATTTTTTCTCCCCAAATTCTTTATCTTGCTCAATGCCTACTACTTTTTTCTCTTATCTCACTTTAATCTTTCTTTTTTTCTCATACCAACCAATATAAACCAAAGATGGGAATAGAAAAGGGACAAGAAATAACTTTCCAGTAAAATTGACTTAGCATTTGTCTGTTGACTTAAACCTGATGATGCAATGTGTATTTGCACCATCTTCTGAATTTCCACTTAAATGTGATAGAATTTCAGCTTTTAAAATATTCAATTAATGTATACATCCAACTCTCCAGTTGTTAAGATCATACATAGTTTGCTTACTTTTGATGTTTTTAAATTTTTCCTTTTGCAATTTGGGGGAGTCATCTCAATTATCTAGTAACATATGAATTTGTTTTCTAGTATTTCTTGTTTTGGTTTTCCTGTGTATTTTGTTGAAATTCTTCTCTAGTTTCAGACTGACTCTCAATTTGACAGTTTCTTTATGTATTTATAATGTTTGAGTATTATTATTGCTAATAAATTATACCTATTTTAAATATTAATAGTACTTATAATAAGATTGGTAAGAAATAGAATATTTTTATATATTTATTTTTTTTTTTAAGATTTTGTTTATTTATTTGACAGAGAACTAGAGAACACAAGCAGGGGGAGCGGGAGAGGGAGAAGCAGGCTCCCCGCGGAGCAGGGAGCCCGATGCGGGGCTCGATCCCAGGACCCTGGGATTACGACCCGAGCCGAAGGCAGACACTTAACCATCTGAGCCACCCAGGCGCCCCAGAAATAGAATATTTTTAAAAATGTTAGGAGAAATGCTATTTTCTACATGTCATTAATAAAAATAGTTTATTTAGTTAAATATTATTGAAGTTCATCAAGACCTGTTTTGTTTGAGAGAATCATTGTTAAAATTGGGTAACAACATAAAGGATCCAAGACCTACTTCTATTTTTAAAAGAATGAGAATTTGCTCTGCTTTTTCCCTCTATACGAAGATGTAAGACTGCTTTCTTGAACCATCAACTCATATGACAGTTAAGGTAAAGAAATCTGGTAAATTGCAGATTTTAAAAATGAAACCTCTGGACTCAGAACTGTTGAGCAAAGAAAACAAATAAACAAAAGAATATCAGAACATGAAAACTATTTCATTCTGTCAACAATGTAAGTCTAATTTTCTAGAGAAATCCTACAGTACTAAAGTATCCCTACATATGTATATAATAAAGTAGGTAAATTAATGCATATCAAATTCATTTTATTTAATAAAAAATAAATAAAGTCAATAATCATGAAAAAATATGATAAAAAATGGACCATAATCTCCTTGAAGTGTCAGGAGAAAAGCCATATTTTTTTGTCTGCTTGCTATTAGAAAATCTTTCGTCATGAACCTTTTAGCCATTCAGCACAGGGGAGAAGAGTAGAACATGAAACTGCAGGGACTGGCCTTTTCCCTAATGTATTTGTTGATTATTTTAATTGCAGTCATTATACACACACACAGACTATCTTTTCTAGATCTTATAAGTTTTACGAGGCAAAGTATATATCCACTCTTACATTACATTTGCTCTATAAAAAATAAACTTCCAGAAGTTGGAAAATTATCTTTTTAGAGAGGTAAATAACTGCAAAGTTATTCTTCTGTGAACCAGTTTAGACCTACCATGGTAATTTATAGTTTCTTTTAGAGGCAAAATCTCTATCCAGACACTAACTTGTATACACAGTGGCAAGAACAGTATAAGAACATTACGGAATGGAATATACTACAATCCTTGAAATTCCATGAAATCTAAGATATATGGGAAATTGGATACCCTCTATTCTAATAGTCAACATACCAATTAAGATTTTTAATTGCTGTGTTCTAATATAATAGATGATTATGTTTATACTTTATCAATGTTAAGAGAAAATTCCAAAAATATACATTTTAACTCAATTTAATAAATTGGAACAATAATGGGACCAAAAGAATCTGTTCAAATAATCACAAGTACAAAAATAATAAGTCTTCTCTTCCTTCTCTTCTCATATTTTATCATCCTATCATTTCAAATCATCCAAGCCATATAAAGAGGCTCAGGTAGTGTTTGTGCCAGAAGCAAAGCTAGACTCAAGCCTGAGAGTGAATCCAGGGATGAAAACTGCATGTTTATCAGAAGCTTGAGTGAAATAAATCTGGCTGAATTCAGGAGTGGGGTTTGTTTCAAAAAAAGAGGATAGTTTAGGAGTAGGAAAGAATCCTCAGAGGTCAGGCTCTTGCTGCTGAGTAGTTAATGTGCTCTTCAGCTGTCCCAGTTGGGACTGTCCATCAACAAAGAATGTGAGGAATGGATGAGTGATGCAGGAATCTATGTGAACTAGATGAAGCTTCCCTTTCCCCTGCACTCTGGGGGTGGAGTCCATGGGGGAGAGGAGATACATGCCCCAGACCCCCCAGTAAGCAATCAGCATCCAGGATACTTGCTCCTCCTTAAAGGAAGGATCTGATACTGACTAGATACAAATTCTTCCTTTTAATTCTTTTATTAAGCAACTGATTTTTGAGCACTCACTAATGAGCCTACCAATCTTCTAAGTCCTGGGGATACTGCTGTAAACAATTCAGACAAGGCCCTTAAGAATGTGCATTCTGGTGGTGGTGGAGAATAAAGAGATAAATAATTAACAAACAAAATAGCTTTAATAATGCTATAGAGTCTAAGGAAGAGGGTGCTATGATAGAGATTAAGAAGGCCGAGAAGAAGCCATCATTACTGGAAGGGACTTTCTGAGATACCACCCCTGTAATGAAGGCCTGTAATGAAAAGGGACAAAGGGTTCCAGGCAGAGGTCAAAGTCTCAAGGTATGACCAATCTTGGAGTGTTCAAGGAACAGAAAATCCTGTGGCAGAAAGTACCTAAACCTGGGAGAATATTTAGCAATTTAAGCAGAGTTCTTTAATTCCCAGTTGGCATTTGAATGAGGGAGACTTCTTGATTGGTCCCAAACCTCAGGAAGATAAAAAATGAAGGCAGCATATATTTAATTACGAGTAGGAGCAACACCTGGTATCTGACTCCCTGGAGATCTATCTGCACCCTTACAACTTCTCTGAAGCACAGATTATTGTTCTCAGTTTCTAGATGAGGGAATTTAAGTTAAAAGATTTAAAAACATGCCCAAATATACATAATAAGTGGTTGGCACAGGGTTTGAACTGAGTGTTTCTGATTCTAAGCTCCAGTTGTTTCCTTCAGACTTAATTATTCTAGATTATTTACTGGACAGTCTTGTTAGAATGCACACAGATTCATCCTCAAGTTTTTGAGCCACTGGCAAATAAAATCAGTGTAATTAATAGGTGAATTGAAAATGAACTGGTTGGGAAAAAACCCTTAAGTCTTATTTTTAGAGGGGCACCTGGGTGGCTCAGTTGGTTAAGCATCTGACTCTTGGTTTTGGCTCAGGTCATGATTTCCTGATTGTGGGAGCAAGCCCACATCCCACTCTGAGCTCAGCGTGTAGTCTGTTTCAGATTCTCTCTCCCTCTCCCTCCCTCCCGCTCACTCTCTCTCTCAAATAAATAAATAAAAATCTTTCTTTTTAAATAATTATTTTTAGAAATTTTAAATAAAACCTGTGGTCCTCTTCTAGCCCATTCAAGAATCTCTCCTTAATGATGCAGAGAGCTGAAGAGTCTCTAATTTCCCCAACTCACATTCTGCTACTCTTTACAGATCTTATCAAGACCTGAATGAACATTCTTGACTTGATTGAATGCCCAGTAGCCTATGGCTTGATCTTGGAAGTACAGGTTTTGATACACACTCTTTCAGTGGGTCACCTGTAAGTTTCTAATGAATTCACAAACAGAATTATCTTATGGACATACTCTTACCGTTTCACAACTTAGCTCATGCCATTTCCTTATTATTTAGGGCTATGTGAGTATGATAATGCATAAGAAGTGTCCATGGTGCCAGATACACAGTAATACTAGTGTTTCCTACCACTTTCAGAGCCTGGAAAGAGAACTAGGGGTAATGATGTGGAAAAAGTCCAACAGAATCATAATGGAAAATAATCCAGGTCATCAGTGCATAGCTTCATTACTGTACTCATTATTACTACAGAGAGATAGCTAGTATTGTTATGTCCACTTACTCATTCAATCAGTCGAGTTAGTTATCTGGCCTATCAATGTCTCAAAAAATATTTAGTGAACTACCTACTATGTGCCAAAACTCTTCTAGGTACTACGGATATATCAATGAAAGAGAAAAGAGTTAGGAACTAAGAAATATATCAATGAATAAAACATAAAAATGCTTCTCCCTCCTAGAGAGAGAGAGAGAGAGAGAGACAATAAACATAAACATGAAGACATTCTAGAGTGTATTTAGAGGAGTAAAATGCTCTGGGAAAAGTAGAACATGATAGTGGGATGTGGAATGCTGGTTCATATGCCCAATTTTTTAAAGGGTGGTTAAGGTGGGCTTCACTGAGAAAGTGACACTTGAACAAATACTTGGAGGAGTTGACTCAATGACTTAACGTATCTTATCTGAAGGAAGGGAGCTCTCAAGGTAGAGGCAATGGCCAGGGCAAAGATTCTGAGGCGGGAGCATGCTTGACATATTCAAGAAAGAGAAAAGAGGCCAGTTTTGTTTGCCAGAATG